TGGGCGCCGGCGGGGACGCTCCGGAGCCGGGCAAGGACCTCAGCGCCGGGCTGCGCAGCGGCCCCCGGGATCTGAGGTAACTGAGCGCAGAGCCTGAGCGGGAGCCCACCCCGGCGCGATGGCCCCGCGCGCGGCGCGTCCCTGGACTTGACCTGGCCTCGGCGTGGCCCGGCGCCCCTGCAGGGGAAACTGAGCCGCGGGACAGGTGACCTACCAAGGTCACTCCCGCGGGGCCGCAGAGCTGGGGTGAGCCCTGGGGTGTGGGTGCGCTCTCAGGGACACCCCGCAGGAGCCTGTTCCTCGGCGGGAGGCGGTGGGTTGGAGCCCCTCCAGGGACCGGGCGGCGCGCCTTGGGGGACAGGGGTACCCAGAGGAGGAGGCAGGCAGATAGGGAGGGGCAGCCTTGTGTCTGCTGGGGGGGAGTGTCTCAGACCCCGGAGGGAGGGTGGCCTTTCCGTGGTCCGCCCTTCCCGCAGCGAGTGACAAGACCCTAGTAGTGTAGGCCTGGGATCCTACAGGTGGGCACCGGAGCAGATCGCTGGTGGGTGCGAGCTGGACCCCGGCGCATCAGCCGCCCTTCACTCTGGGCAGGGGCCTGGGGCTCTCACCCTAGGAGCTGCTGAAAGGGACGAGTTATGAGTTATCAAGGAGGAAGTGGTGATTGGTCAATCCCTGGCCAGGGTTTCTTCTCTGAGTAAGCAAGAACTAGACTTTCTCCCGCTGGCACCCGGGGTGGGGCTGGGGCACACCCTGCAGGCCCTGGGGGCTCACAGTCCACCTGGGAGGCTGGCAGGCAGTGTAGACAAAGGTCGGCAGGGAAGGTACCCTGGGAGGTACCTTCCCAGGGCCCCAGAGGGGCTTCCATACTAGGGGCCAGAGCAGGTGCTGCCCGAGGCGGAGGGAGCCAATTGGGATGCAGCTTGTCCTCCTCTGCTCACAAGCTGAGGCCTTTCCCAGCGACAGGGGGATGGCCAATTGAACTCCAGAAGGGGGAGCCGGGACCTGGACTTCAGCAGGTGTGACCTGGGGAGAGGCCTTCTGCAGTGCTGGGGCCTGTATCGTCCCTGGGAGCCTGGGCTGAGGCTGGGCGTGGGTCCAGGACACACTCCATGGCCTTGCCCCTTCAGCCTTACCCTGGGCGTGGCCAAGTCACTCCCTTTCCTCCACTGCTCCTGCACCTGCCCCCGTCTTCCTCATGACTCCCCACCTCCAGACCTCCTCCCTCCCCTGACTTCTTCCTCATCTGCTCACCTTAGGCGGGACAGAGCTTCAGCCTGGGCAGGGGTGGGGTATGTTGGCACCCTTGTTTGCTGGTCCTCGCCCTCATCCACCTGTGACCCAGGGGCTTGAGGGTTGCACCCTGCACTCTGCTTGTTTGTGGGCCAGGCTTTGGTGGGCCTGAGGGTGCCCTCAAGCAGTCTGGGAACAGTGCAGGGCCTGTAGTGATGGACTCTGGTTAGGGCTGTGTCCTGAGGGCTCTCTGGCCCTGCAGGGGGTGGAGTACGAAGGTGCTGGCAAGCCTGCTGGCGAGGGGGAGGGTACCAGTTCCACACATGAGGAGTGATTGGCAGTGCTGGGGCTCTGGGGACCAAGTGGGAGGTAGGCTTCCCTTTGGGCAGGAGGCCACTCCCGAGGGTGGCTGGAGAGCCTCTCCAGGGTCTTACAGGGAGGTCAAGCATGATGGTCTTCAAAAAACACTCCTGTGACAGTGTCTAGTGTGAGAGTGTCACCCTGGATACTGCTGGTATGGCCTGGGGGTTGCATGCGTGAACCTGGGAGGCCAGGCTCTAGGGTCAGTGCTGGTGAGCACCATGGGCATGGGCTTGCACTGGGCCCAGGCCAGGCCAGGAAGGCCTGACATCTGCTCCGTCCAGCAACTGCTGCCTCTGAGCAAGTGGGAGACCATGACAAGGGCCAGTAGTCCTGAGAGGAGCAGGCCTTGCAGGGGTAGAAGGGCTGCCCCAGGCTGGGACTCAAGGAGTGCCCACTGGTGTAACACTGTGATGGCAGGGTTGGGGGGCCGGTGAGGTTGTAGTGTGGGCCTGGGGAGCAAAGGTGAGCCTATTGTCCCCACCCTGGTGAATGCTGTGGCCAGCCCCTCCTGAGGCCCAGTGCTGCTCAGGCTCTCAACAGCTGCTCCGCTCTCTGAGCCCAGGGTGTCCACTCAGTGTTCCTGCCCATTTCCCCACTGGAGGGACCGTTTCCCCACTGGAGGGATTAAGTGCCCTGTCCTTGCCTAACACAGGCAGCCTTCCGGAGCTATGCAGCCATTGGGTCCTGGGAGGGCCCAGGGTGCCACCCTCCTCTGGCCAGGTGCCCCTCCCTTACCCCAGAGCATGGGTAAGGACAAGAAGGTCTATAGGTCTTTCCTGGGGGCATAATTATGGCCTTTTGCTGGGTTCAGCCCCTGGATGCCTCTGGGGTCCCTGGCCAAGCTCTCCCTGTATGCCATCCTCTTCCGCCTCCAGGGGGGCTCCTGGCTCAGCACTCACCTCTTGGCTGATTGGACCAAACTGTGCTTTTTCAACAACAACTTGAGAAAAACAAGGAGGCCAGAGGCCTGAGCTTTCAGGCCAGGCCTCCCAGGGGGCCTTTAACGCAATCTGAAAGGCAAGGCTGGCTGTGGGGGTCTGGGCTCTACAGGCCCCCAGTGTGTACTTCCCCAGTGGCTTCAGTCACTGTGGCTAGGGTGTGGCAACAACCAGGGCCTTGAGTAACATGGTGTGTATGTGGTTGTTCCCTAGTCTGGGGGCTTAGCCTGAGCCCCTCCTGAGGCAGGAAGGCCAAACTGACCCCTGGGGCCGCACACTGTCCAATTGCAGCTTGTGGCTCAGGCTTTGAGCTTGTAGGGCAGGACTTTTAGGGTGCTGTGTGTCTCTCCTGGGCATGCAGTGTCCCAGTGCTGGGTCAAGGTGGCCCCAGGACCCTGGTGGCTGGCTTTGCCTCTGCTTCCAGCCCTGACCAGGTGTCTCCTGCCTGCCAGCTGCCACCGCCTGCAGGAGTCCTTGTTCAGTTCCGACAGTGGCTTCAGCAACTACCGAGGCATCCTGAACTGGTGTGTGGTGATGCTGGTGAGTGTACCCGGGCCTGGCGAGGCACAGGGGTGGGCTGACGCCCTGCTTTGTCCTTGTCCTGGCTGCATGGGACCTTCCTTGCCTAGGTCTGGGACCACAGCACTGGCACAACAAACTCTTGTGCTGTGTGCTAGCCTTTGTGACTCCGGGCTCCTCCGGTGAAGGGCTCTGCCAAGGCAGAGTGGGTCCATGGAGCTGGGCTGCACCAAACCAGTGACAGCAAGGGGGTAAGCTGGGGAGGGTCCTGGGCAGTGGATGAGGGTACAGGACCCTCTGGCATTGAGCAGAGAGAAAGGTGCAGTGTGGCCCCACCTGGGATGCACCTAGGCTGCCATGATCTAAGAGCTGCCCCCCAGCCCAGGTATGAGGAGTGGGGCCAAATGGTGGTGGTAGGGAGCATCATGGAGAGGGGCCAGCTCCTGGCAGACAGCCTTTCAGGCTGGCACTTGGGGGACAGGGGACACAGACATGGGGAGAGGTGGAGAGCTGGCAGCCACGAGGGCTGGGGGTACCAGGCTGGGGTGCCCCAAGGCCAGGGGTAAGGGCCCTTACTTCTTTCCCCCTCAGGTCTTGAGCAACACAAGGCTGTTTTTAGAAAACCTCATTAAGTGAGTGCCCTGCCCTGCCCCATCCCTCAGGGAGGCCCTGCCCTGGCCCCCAGGGTGCCCTGTTCCTCAGGGTCTCCCCTGCCCTCCCAGCTCAAGCTTTCCCACTCTCCCACCCCCAGGTATGGCATCCTGGTAGACCCCATCCAGGTGGTCTCTTTGTTCTTGAAGGACCCCTACAGCTGGCCAGCCCTGTGCCTGGTTATTGGTGAGCTGGGGAGTGGTAAGGGGTGGGAATGGTGGGTGGTTCCTGGCCTGAACCTGCCCTGGATGTGTCTGTCCCCAGTGGCCAACGTCTTCGCTCTGGCAGGGTTCCAGATTGAGAAACATTTGGCAGTGGTAAGCAAGATCCCTCTAGAAGGCTGTGATCTCCCAGTGTGGGGGTTCCAAACCAGGACTGTCGCCCCTGTCACCCAGGCTGGACTCCTGCCCAGGCTGAGGCCCTGCCTTTCCCTGCACAGGGAGCCCTGAGCGAGGAGGCGGGGCTGCTGCTGCACGTGGCCAATCTGGCCACTGTCCTCTGCCTGCCAGCCGCCGTGGCCATCCTGGTGGACTCCATCACACCAGGTGCGCCCTCTGCGCTGGCGCTGGGCCCCAGCGAGCCTGCGTCTCCCCGCAGTGGGCTCCCTCGAGCCTGGTGCGTCCTCCCTGTAGGCGCCGGGGTGGAGGGCCTTGGCGAGCCTGCCTCTCTCCCGCAGTGGGCTCAGTGGTCGCGCTGATGGTATACACCATCCTCTTCCTCAAACTCTTCTCCTACCGGGACGTCAACAAGTGGTGCCGCGAGCCAAGGGCCAGCGTCAGGGCAGGCGAGAGGTGCCAGGCGGCCCAGCTCGCGGCCTCTGGCGACAAGCGAGCCAACGGGGCTGCTGCGCAGCCTGCGGTGAGCTACCCCGACAACCTGACCCACGGAGGTGAGCGCCGGGCCAAGCCCCCACTTGCAGGGCGGTGGCGGCGCCGAGGGACAGGACGGTGGTGGTGACCAGCCCGTCTTTCGCCCTTCCAGACCTCTACTACTTCCTCTTTGCCCCCACCCTGTGCTACGAACTCAACTTCCCCCGCTCCCCCCGGATCCGGAAGCGCTTCCTGCTGCGGCGGCTCCTGGAGATGGTATGGGGCGGAGCCGGGGGCGGGGGCCGGCGCGGCGCGGCCCGGGCCGGCGCCGAACTTCCTGCTCTGCTTCCCTCCGCAGCTCTTCCTCACGCAGCTCCAGGTGGGGCTGATCCAGCAGGTGAGGGGAGGGGCGGAGCGGGCCGGGGAGGGGCGGGGCGGCGAGTCCGGAGCTGGAGCCAGACTGACACCAAGCTCCTGTCTTGCAGTGGATGGTGCCCACCATCCAGAACTCCATGAAGCCCTTCAAGGTGAGCGGCTCAGACCCTGGGGGGCACGCGCGCGTGCGTGCGCTCTACTACAGCCCTTTAGCCCATGTCATTCCAGGACATGGACTACTCCCGCATCGTTGAGCGCCTCCTGAAGCTGGCTGTGAGTAGGCCATCAGGCAGGTGGGCAGGGCCGGGCGGAGCTGGGTGACCAGAGCGGACTGACCCCTCCTGCCCTGCAGGTCCCCAACCACCTCATCTGGCTCCTTTTCTTCTACTGGCTCTTCCACTCCTGCCTGAACGTGGTGGCTGAGCTCATGAGATTTGGAGACCGAGAGTTCTATCGGGACTGGTGGTAAGGGCTGGATGCGCTGGGAGGTCAGGGGAGGGCAGCACTGGGCACACAGGCAGTATTTCCCCTCTCACAGGAACGCGGAGTCCGTCACCTACTTCTGGCAGAACTGGAACATCCCCGTCCACAAGTGGTGCATCAGGTGGGCTGTGCTCATGGGTGCCTGGGACTTCCACACCCGCGTCTGAGACCCAGTCCCCTGCTCACTAGGGTGCCCACTCCTCTCTGCAGACACTTCTACAAGCCCATGCTTCGCTGTGGGTCTGGCAAGTGGACTGCTAGGACGGGTGTGTTCCTGGCCTCGGCGTTCTTCCATGAGGTGAGGGCAGCAGGTCTACAAGTTCCTGAGGTGAGGGGTGTGGTACCCACTGATGTCTCTCCCACCCCTTCCCCACCAGTACCTGGTGAGCGTCCCTCTGCGCATGTTCCGGCTCTGGGCCTTCACAGGCATGATGGCGCAGGTGAGTGTGTCCCCAGCTGAGGCCCCACTGCCACTGCCATCCTGCCCCTGCTCCCCTGACATAGCCCTTGCTGTGCCCAGGTCCCTCTGGCGTGGCTCACCAGCCACTTCTTCCTGGGCAAGTATGGCAACGCAGTGGTGTGGCTGACTCTCATCATCGGGCAGCCAGTGGCGGTGCTGATGTACGTCCACGACTACTACGTGCTCCACCACGAGGCCACAGCCACACTGGCCAACTGAGTGTGCACCTCTTGCTCTCCCTGAGGCCGAGGTGTGGCCAGGGCTGGAGCACTTGCTGGCCCCCTTGGCCCTTCTGCCCCTATGGGGCCCCTCCCTCAGGGAGTGACTGTCCAGCAGGCATGGGCTGGCCTGGATTCCCCGGTGGGGGGCTGTGTGTCAATAAAGCGCTGTCCAGTGTAACTTCTTTGCATGTTGGGGACGAGTGGGAAGAAGGGGGCATGTCCCCTGGAGGGCTCTCCATAGAGGCCAAGAGCAATCATGCCTCCTTCACCCGCTACTCTGTGGCCACTGGGTCAGGAGTGAAGGAAGGCACCTTGTTCTCTGGCCTGGCTGTGCCAGCTCCATGTAGGAGTGGGGGTGGGGGCTGGGAAGGCTTCCAGAGAGGGGGTAGAGCTAAGGGGGAGCTGTTCATGAAGACTGAACCCAGAAAGGGGCACTGGCAAAAAGGTCTAGGGTTGCACTGGCTGAGATGACTGCCTTAGTCCAGGCAGCACCTTCACAATGACCAGGGGGGCTCTGGCCTGGGCCCCCTCCAGCCCCTGACTGTAAGTCACAGCATGATCCTCAGATGCAGGCCCCTGCTAGGTGGTGCTGGGAGATGGGGTACTGGCCCCAGGCCTAGGCATCAGGCTGACCTGCCCAGTTCCTGTTGTGCATGTGTGTGACCCCAGGATCTTCCCTACTCTAGGACACCCCTGTCCCCATGCCTTGCCACATGGGAACAAAGGTTTGGGGGCAAGCTGCCTTGATACAAGGTCCCTTCACAGAAGGGGCCATCCCGGTTGAGTATAACATAGCTGCAAGGGAGGGCAGGGCCCTAAGCCACCCTGCTGGAGGATTAGAGGCTGTGTGTGACCTACTCTGTCTGTGGCAGAGTGAATGCCCTAACACTGCCCTTCCCCTCCCCCACCCAAATCAAAGGGAGCCAGGGTAGAGCGTTTCCATTTATAGACTCTGTCCCTCTGGGCGGAGCTGAGGACCTCTCTGCAGGAGGGTAAGCCGGACTTCTCGTGTAAAAATCCAAAATACGACTCGACTAGAACCACCAGCAGGGCTGGCCAAAGCGTGGCTTCGAGGGCCCGCGGGCTGCAGGCTCACAGGGTGCGGTGGAGGCACCAGCTCGCCGATGGCCTCACCCTGGGACCAGGTGGACTTCCGTGTGGAGCGCTGTTTGCTGCCAAGGGCCCTGGCCCTGCCCATGGTTGGCCCCAAGCGGGGGAGTGGTGACCCCACCAGGTCATCTGGGCCCTCTAGGAGACAGTGGGGTCCTGGGCTTTGGGAGGCTCAGGGCCAGTCAGCAGTGCGATGGTAGGGTCATCTGTGTAGTCATCCCCCTCGGAGAAGTAGGAGCCCTCCCCTAACTCGAAGAGCACTGGCAGGTCGCTGCCTCCTGAGTCCACGGGTCCGGGGTCTACCAGGAACAGGGGCTGTGCTGTGTAGTGCACCAGCTGCTTCCCTGCAGGCAGGCAGGTGGGGCTGAGCGTCAGGGGAGGGCCGGTGGGCAGCTGGGTCAGTGGGTAGAGCAGGTGGTTGTGGGCCTCAGTTTACCTGAGTCCCGGCTACTGTTCTCGGCTTCAGCAGCCTCCAGGGGCCTGGGTGGCTCCGGGGTGGCAAGGAGTTCCTGGATCTGCTGACAGGAGGGAGGGTTAGTGAGAGCTCCCTCCTCCTGCCCACCCTCGGGCCCTCCTTCCCATCCCCTCCCCCAGGCCCCTGCACGCACACTGGCCAGGCTGCTGTCTGGGTCAGGCAGGCTCATGTCTGGCATGGTCACCGAGGGGCTGAAGAGATCCATCAGGGCACTGGTGTCCACACTGAAGCCACGGCTGCCCAGCATGGCCTGCAGGCTGTCCAGGTCGGAGTCCATGGCATCCAGGTGGTCACTGAGCTCGCTCCTGGGCCGAGGGAGGGAGAGGTGGGTTGTCGCCTGGCCTAGGACTCCTGGACAGCCCTCCACTGAGGGCAGCCTCCCTGATTCCAGGTGCTAGTGGCTTGAGCAGTGGGGTGGAGGTAGGCAGGGGGCTCACCAGGAACCCCTTCAGGGCCTGGGCCAAGTGGGTGGAGGAGCAGTGTGGATGGACCCATGAGGGCCAAGGGCCCTTGGTGTTCTTGCCCTGGGATGGGCCGGACAAGCCTCACCTTCTCACTTGGGAGGTATTAGGTCATGCACTCGGCTCGTGACAACCGCAGTCCCCAGAGCAGGGGCCGGGGCCAGGTGTGGCTGTCCAGTGCTGACCCAGGTCTCTGGCAGGAGGGCCCATCCCTGGCCCCCCCCTCCCCAGTGCAGATGAAGGCCTGGGGCACCCTCGGCAGAGGGCCCAGGGTGCCCGCCCGCTGCTGGGCAGGACCCATGGCGGGAGCACTGCAGCCCTGGCAGCGCCCTCTTCCCTCCTGGGTGGGGCAGTGCTAACCCTGGCTGGACTCGGCCATGCAGAGAGGAGGAGGAGGGACAAGGGAGGAGGCGCACCACCCCTGACGTCTGTGAAGCACGAGCCCAGCTGCAAGACACAAAGACAAGCACCTGACTGCAGGGCCGGGCCAGCCACTCACCGCTCCAGCCTGCTCGGCAGGGCTGGTGACACAGGGCGTGGGCCCAGGGGGGTCTTGCACGTGGGGCTGTGGCCTAGCGGTCGGCATCTACTCCCTCGTCAGTCACAGGCTCAGAGGCTGGAGAGGCCCAGTTCACCACCCAGCTGCCCTGTACACAGACCCTGGGCCGCGCCAGGTCCTCCTTCAGGCATGGCTACCCCTGCTGCTGGGGGTTGGGGCTGGGGGCAACTCACTTGTCCAGGCAGGCCACGCTGAGGCACTTCTCTGGGGCTGAGGTGGGCAGGGGGGTGGGGCGCCTGTCCCCGTCGTGTGCGGGCTGGGCAGCTGTGGGGGCGGCAGTGGGCTCACTCTCCCGCAGGATGGAGTCGATGAAGGCCGTCGGGGACAGGGGCGTCTCTGCATCTGCGGAAGGCTGCCCGGGGCTCACCTCCACCTGGGGGCTATGGGGGGGGCTGGGTGGCTCCTCTTTGATGTGCACTCGGGGGCTGCTGGGCAGCGGCCTGGAGGGGCATGTGGATACCCAGAATGGGGACAGGGCGTCAGTACGCTCCCAGTCCTGCCCGAGTGGGGACGGAGGGTGGCGGTAGCAGGGCATGACTTGGGCCCCACCTCTCATCAATGCTCCCGCCCGAGGTGGCCGAGGGGCTGGAGGGAACCAGCTCAGTGATGTCAGAGATGATGGGGCCGGAGCTGGCCAAGGTGTCTGGGGAGAAGAGGCTGGAGCCACTGAAGGCAGGGGACGAGGCCTGCAAAGGACATGGCTGTCTACATGCACCGCGGGGCGCAGCCTGGCCCCGCTCCGCCCCACCGGCCCCCACCCAGTGCTCACGGTGAAGGTGGCAGCGCCGTGCACGTGCTCCAGTGAGTACTGCCGGCCGAACTTGGGCAGGGGCGGGCCAGAGCCGCTGTCGCTCAGCATCAAGGGGCTGCAGGGGAGGGGCATGTTAGCAGGGGAGGGCCTGCGTGCAGGACCCATTTGGGGCCGGGGCCCCCCAACCTCACATCTTTCTCTTCACCCCCAGGATCCGATTTGACTGCACCAGGGAGATCAGGAACTGGATGAGCTGTGGGCACAAAGGGTAGCTTGGTCACCTGGGCGCTGGCATGTGCACACCCAACCGCCCGCCCCAGACGGCCTGGCCACCACGCCACCTTGTTGACGACTTTCTGCTGCTGGGCGTGCTTCTGCCGAAGGCTGGCCACCTCCCTCCACAGCACCTCGTTCTCACTGCAAGGACCCAGGGTCAGTCACTGGCCCCCTGCAGTGAGGCCATGGCTACCAGATAGGTGGGCGGGTAGTAGGGCAAGCTGGGGGAGCCCCCAACCCCCAGGGACCTACTGCTTCATGGCCAGCAGCTTGGAGTCCATGCTCTCCTGTTTCCCCTTCATCAGCTGCACGTCGGTTAGCAGCTTGGTGACACTGTCCTGGCGAATCTTAATGTCATCACTCTTAAGGCCGGACACCTGGGGCCCAGGGAGATAGGGGATGGTGTTACTGGGGTGGCCCAGAGTGCAGGGTCCTGGGATGATGCTGTGACCAGCCCCACAAGGGAGGGATCTCTTCTAGAGGGGTGGGTCCCATGCCAGAAGGCGGCATAAGAGGGGTGGGGTGCCTGTGACACAGGCGGAGGGCTGGCCGCGGCCAGCAGCCTCCTCCTGCACCAGGTCAATGCCTACAGGACAGTGGCCGCTCCCCCAAGCTCCCTCCTGCCCGTGTGGGCACTCACGCTGGCCACTTTCCTCTTGATGCTGTCCAGGAGCTGCTCCTGGCCTCGCAGGAAGCATGGGTGCTGGAACTCCGTGTCATCCTTCTCCGGCTTCATCAGGCCGCCTTGCTCAATGTGGACCACTTTCCGGAAGCCGTCTGCACACGACAGGGGCAGGTGCTCTGCTTACGGCTGGGATGCCAGCTCCATCCCCCGTCCCTGTCACCCTACAACTGCAGGGGCCGAGGGTTGTGCCGGGATGATGGGCCACTCAGGGTATGTGCCTCAGTCTTCCCCTGATGGGGTGCCCAGCAGGATGCTGCTCGACCCCCGAGTAGGGCCTGGGGACCATGACAGGGAATGGGGGCCGAGTGTCCACCTGGCCGGCTGCGGAGGTCCGGCCCATTGTGTAAGCCCATGAAGACCCTGGACAGACAACAGGCCAGGGTAGATGGCGGTCCATCAGTGGTCCCCGATTCTCAGGGGGAAAGGGACGTTCATGGTGGTGGGGAGACGCAGTGGACACATCTGCCCTGGCCGGCCACTCACACATGTTGAGCTGCCGCACGAAGCTGGCCATGTTGCTGTGCTTGAAGTACTTGGGCAGCACCTCCTTGGCAAACTGGCCCTGGTCAAACACGTGGAAGCTGTTCCCGCTCTGCTGGGGGAGAGGGTGGGGTCACTGCCAGAGCCCCTTGTGCAGTGCTTAGGCCAGACTCAGGTCCCCTGGGGTGGGAAGTAACCACTAGCACCTTGGGGCCTGGCTTCCACCCCACGTCTTTGCTGACACTTCTTGGTACAAGGCTGGTGTTCTCAGGCAGGCTCTGTCCCCCACCGTGGGTCTGACCAGCTTTCCCAGGGGCATTTCCCACAGGAGGCGAGCCAGCCGGCCCTTCCCCTCCCCTCTTAAACTCAGTCCCCAAACCGCACGGTGCCCATGCAGCCAGGTAGCCCTGGCACAGAGGCAGGGTTGATGCTTGGGAGGGCTGGCCAGGAGGCCCGAGGTTGGGGCAGACAGGGGAAGCTGGACGGGAATGGCCCAGAGGAATGAGAACAAGCCCGCCCCTCCTGGCGGCCAGAACTACCTGCCCTCCCCCCAGGAGGGCCGCTGGGGGGCTGGGGTGCGGGCTGTTTCCAGGGCTTCTTGGTGTGCCCTCACGTCACCACCAAAATGTCAGCCCTGGAAAGTCACGAGACTGGGTCTCTGAGGGACGCTGCCTCACTCCCCACCTGCCTCTGGCCCTCACCATGCTGCCCGACACAGCCTGCACCCCCACCCCCACACACAGGCTCGGGGCACAGAGAAATGGCGACAGGAAGGTAGAATTCCCTGAGCCACAGCTGGCAGCCTGGGGCCAGGGAGCGCCCTCAGTGCCAGAGCCCAAGGAGCGACGCCCAGCCTCTCAGGCAGACCCACCCAAGCCCACTGGTGTGTTGGCACACACCGGCACTTTGAGCCGTGTGGCTGCCCCAGGCCACGGGGAACAATGCAGGCGACAGGCTAACCAGAAAGTTTGCCAAAAAAAACAAACCCCAACAAGCTAGGTAACGGGTTGAAGCGCACCACAGTGCTCCTGGGCTTCCAGAGGGCAACCGCTTTGAAGCGCGGCAGGGCGGGCTCAAGGCCCAGCATAGTGGCAGGGAAGGGCCAGCAGTGGCTCTGAGATGCCCGGCCGCGTGGGTGCAGAGCCTTGGGTGGACTCAGGAGCCTCAGCAGCCCCAAGCAACCCTCTGTTCTGCGTCAGCCCACTCCCGAAACTGGTGGCCACACACAGCAGAGAATACAGGGAAGTCACTGAGCGAAGAAACCACCCAGAGTCAACGGGCAGAGCTGGGGAGGCGGAGAATCCGAGGGCCCAGTGTCCGACACACACACAGCTCAACAAGAAAGCATGGGCCTGCACAGAGACAAGCAGCAGCCACGGAAACTGAGGACGTCCAGATGCCCCACCTACCAGGGGCACTCAAACCAGCCATTTAGACGGTGTTCAAGGGGTAGGACAAGCCACACTACTCGAGAAAATGAGAACAATGCTTCACCAAACAGAACATCAGTAAAGAGGCGGATTACGAACTTTAAAGACTATGGGGTGTGGGTGGCAAGAGGGAAGGAACAGGAGCAGAGGGAGGGGAGGTGGGCGAAAGTGAGACCCTGACAGACACCGTGGAAGTGAAAGCCTACGTGAGGGGCTTAAGCGCAGGGAGGTCAGGCTGGAGGAAGGAAAGGAAAAGGGGAGAGTGCACACTGGGCGGGCACTGTCCTGCACACCCTCAGTGCACTACAGCAGCCCCAGGGGAAAAGGGAAAGCATGGGGGTGGAGAAAATACTTGGTGGGGAGGGGGCAGAGTCTGGAACCCCCCCAAGTGTGATGGGAAAAGCTCACAAGCTCTAGGTGTGAGGTGGCGGCCGGCTTCTCAGCAGCTGACAGTTGAGGGAGAGGCCTCAACACTAGCTGACAGCGATGTGATCAGCCCCAAGGTGGGCGCTGTGAGCCTGGGGACACCCGCGGAGGTGTGGCCTACCTGATGTTTACGTGGACCCGGCTGAGTGTCTTCCTTTCCTTGCTGACCTGGATCCCACATCGGTCACTGAACTAGGGCCTGCAGAGCCTGCGACCGACCGGGGATTTGCTCGTCTGCGAGCCCTGGCCCAGTCCATGGACATCCACCAGCCCGAGGGTCTCCTGCTTCAGCTTCGTGCTGCAGGTCCAGCAGCTTCAGCCGGTTCAGGAAGAGCCTCCAGCTTAACCTCTGTCCCAGAGACTTGAACTGGACCCACTACACCCTCTCCTACAGCTGTGGGAACACTGCTCTCCACAAATGCCTCTCCTCGAGAGAGCCAACTAACACATGGGTAAGCTCGGAGACCCATATCTAGACACATCATTAGTGGACAGTCAAAAGCTAAAGAGAATCTTTAAAGTGCCAAGACAAAAATCAACCCATCAGATACAAGGGGTCACTACACGGGACCAGCTGACCACTTCACATCAGGAACCACGGAGGGCAGAAGGCGAGGTTGTGGGATGGATGGAGCAGTCAGTAGTATGACAGTTGTGAGGAAACATCAGGTGAACCCGAACCAGGGGACATCCAACAAGTAACTGATAACCTCCCAGAGTGTACAGGCCGTATCATAAAGGCCACAGGAAGCAATGAGGAAAAGACTTCAAATCAGGGGAGACAAAAGGAGGCCAATCAGCAGAGGGCTCCGAGCGGGGCAGTGCACAGAGAAGCCACCTGATGGGCCACTAGAGACCAGGGAGTGGGTCACTCTCAGGGCCGCCGCGCCCATGTCTTTGGGGAAACGGCTCCACACCATTCTGAGTGGCGGCCATCAGGTCGGTGACCTGTCCTCAAATGCTCCGGGGGAAGAGCTGTACTCGCCCTTTTCTCTCAGGGTTGTTTTAAAGCACAAGGAAAGAAAACCACCACTTATAAAAAGGAAGGGAAGAAAGGCATTGCTTGGATTTCGAAAGCAGACCTGGTCCTAAGTCTAGCCTTGCACGGCAGCGGCTGCCCACCAAAGCAGATGCGACAGCGACCGGAGCTCTCCGGTCTCTCCGGGCTGACCACCGTTTTACCTTGGACTGAAGCCCCAAATCTCATGCCCAGAAACTCCATATCAGGCAAGGCATCTACCAGCAGAATCGAGACTGGGAAGCAGGCAGGAAGTGAGAGCAACATCTACAGGTTTTTGGAGAAGTGGCCTCTGTTGAGTCTTTCCATCCCTATACATGGCTCCAGACATGCTGTCCTGGAGTCAATTCTGACGCACAGCGCGCTGGCGTACATTCGGAGATTGTACATCTTGACAGGCGCAGTCTCACCCTCTATCTTCAGAGCAGCTGGTGGGTTTAAGGCAGTGGTTCTCAGCCTTCCTAATGCCGTACCCCTTTAATACAGTTTCTCCTGTTATTGTGACCCCCAACCATAAAGTTATTTTCGTTGTTACTTCATAACTGTAATTTTGCTACTGCTATGAATCGTAATGTAAATGATCTGATCTGCAGGATGTATTTTCATTGTTACAAATTGAACCTAAAGCATAGTGATTAATCACAAAACATGTAATTGCAGATTGTGACATATTTACGTGTTTTCCGATGGTCTTAGGCAACCCCTGTGAAAGGGTAGTTTGGCCCACAAAGAGGTCGCGACCCGCAGGTTGAGAACCACTGGTTTAAAGGGGCAGTTTGCTGACTGGCAGCCCCACCCACCCCGGGCCAGGCAGGCTGCTGACAAACCTTTCCATGGAGGGAGGTCCTCTCTGGTTTGGAAGCTGAGTTTGTGAGCTTTTGATTTGTGTCCATTATTTGTAAACATACACAAGGGCAATCGCATACACTTCTATCTGCCTACTTCTCAGAGAAAGATACATGCTGTCCGTTGCTGCCGAGCCCTGACGTCCTTCTCCAGGGACTGGTCTCTCCAGACATGTCCAAAGCCCATGAGACAAAGCCAGACTGTCTTCGCTTGTAAGGAGCACTCTGGCTGTACTTGCAATACAGATCTGTTTGCTCTCCGTATTCTCGGCCAGCATCAAGTGCTGCTCTGCCGGAATGCGCGGTGCACTTTTCACAGGCCCGTGGCGTGGCTGAAGACACGGCGCAAAGCCACCGGCACCCCAGCAGTGCTTCCTCTCACCCACACACTCGGCCACTGCCACTTCCACCCACCTTCTGCCTTTAAAAAAAGGGAGTCACAATGTACCTAAGTACAAATGGCCACTTCAATCAATTTTGACATATGGTTGTTTAACCACTGTGACGAATAAGCTGCCGTCACACCCAAACACCGTCTGATGACCTTCTGCCCTTGTCCTTGGGCACCCATCAACCTGAGGTTTGTCGCCCTGGTGTTGTCTTTTCTGGAATGCAGTTTGGCTCCCTCCACACAGCAGAGTGCAGGTCTGTTTATCTACCAACCATTGGCAGGGCACTGGGGTGGCTCTCGGTTTGGCTAGTTAGGAATCAGATGGAGTGCAGACCTCTGTGTGAATGTACCTTTCACTCATCTTGGCAAGGAATGCCCATGGGTGCCCATCTGCATTCGCAGCAACCCGTGAACGTTCCAGGGGTTCCCCACCCCACCCACACTGTCAGTTACACTGGTAGGTGTGCCCCCCGAACCTACAGGGCAGCCGGTTTCCACGGCTGGAATCTGCTCTGCTTTCTCGGAAAGCTCAGCCACTGTACCACAGGGTGAGCCAGGCCGTCCTGCCTGCCCAGCCAGGGTTAGGGTTGGTGTAGGTGTGCAGTGCCTCCGGAGCCTGGGAGGCACTGTGTGACACGTTGGGAAGCTGCCAGCTGCTCTGAGGGGGAGACAAGGCTTTCTACTGTTGGAAAGAGTTAGTCTTGGAAACTCACAGGGGCGGTTCGACCCTGTCTTGGAAAACGTACTTAGAGGCAGTGATGGCAAGACTCATCTTAGGTTCTTTGAATCGCCGTCAGAGACGAGTCCCCGGAGAGGGACACCATGCTGGATAAAGTGGAGGGGCAGTGAGAACGAGGCAGGCTCTCAACACGATGGACTGACGACTGGTTGCAACAGTGGGCTCAAACCCAAGGAGAGCTGTGAGGATGGCCCCCGGGGCGGGGTGGTATAGGTCCGTCACCGGGGGTGGGGGGTTGGGGGGTGGTGTTTGCTGTGGGTCAGGGTGGACGGGACAGTGGCGGCAGCGTGCAAATCCTTCAAATACTTTCACTCAGCTTCTGGCTTCCTTTTTGCTTTCTTAATAAGGTATTTTCTTTTCCTTTACATTTTATTTTGTTGTTGCCCAGGAAAACACACACTGTGTCCCGCCGTTCCCAGCTGCGTGGTATCAACCTGCACACCACTCTTGAAGCCAGCCTGCGACTAGCCTCCCTGTGCACCCACAAGCTCTCACCCTCATCCTTCTAGCAGCTGTTGCCAATTTGATCCCATACAGAGAAATCCTGAAGAAGCAAAATGTGCCAGGCACATGTTTTTCTTAGTTCAGCTAAACTATTTGGTTTTAAGAAGACCACAGGGCACATTTCTGGCTAAGGATTCAGGAGTATCTCAGGTCCGCCCGCCTTGCGTGGCTCCAAGTCTGGATCCCATGAAAACCCAAATTCTCCTCTATACCCCTCCCTCCTGGTCAGCTTCTCCCACAGCACCCTCCACCAACAGGCTCCATCGTAGAAACTGGGCACCCTCCAGTCAGGCCTCGTGGGAAAGGAAGCCATGAGCCACAGCGCCCACACCCTTCGCCTGCCTCTGTGGCTCTTTGCAGACCGCTCACAGGGTCTGTGACCCCAGGCCAGGTGCAACCCGACAGAGCAGGAGGCAGGAGAGAAGCACTGTGCGTACTATCGGCAAACGAACTGATCTGCCCGAGGAACCTCAGCCTCCGACAGTCCCTGAGGGCGTACGATCACTTTGGAGAGGCCTCAGTCGCTGCTGATTTTTGTCACCGCTGTACATCCGTCTCTCACGCAACTTAGGCAAGCCACCTTTCTACGAGTGCAGGACTTCCTGAGAGCAAGTGCAGCCCTCCACCCCACATTCTCATCACCACGAAGGCCCCTTTACCTGTCCTGTCCACCACGGACCATCTTAACTGTGCAATTTACACAAGTTTGTGACTGTGGCAAAGTCTACTATATCATTTTTGACCATAAAAACCCACTCTATCATGTTTCCCCCGAGTTTCGGGTTTTCTGGGCCTAGTTCTAGGTCACAAAGATTTTCTCTCACTTCTAGAAGTTTATAGTTTTATTCATTTTGCGTGAACTCAGTTCCAGGTTTAATAGGCACGTTAGGGTGATCTGGTCCAGTAGGCCCTCACTGTTTAAGACTTCACGTTTGGTCAGTGTTTTCCTGACCAAAGGTCCACTGATGGTGGCCCTCAGGAGTCCAGAGTGTTAGTAGGGGTGGCTGGCACCATCTAGCTCCTCTGGTCTCAGGGTAGACGGAACAGTGCTCTGTGCAGGCTGCTCACCCTGCAGACTTGCGCCTTCTCTGGGACGCTGTTTGTCTCATTTTGGCTCCTGATGAGCAGGGACTGGGCGTTTTATCTTAGACGGTCAGCTGCAGGCTTCTCAGACCCAGCTGTCACTCACCTCGCTCAGAGGTGGAATGTGACCGGTGGCTGTGACTCACTGCCATAGCTCCGTGCCAGAACTCTGCACTTGGAGGCGGCACTCCATGGCTCCCTGCCACCAAGGCCAGGGCTGTGCTGAACATGCCACAACAGGCCTGTCTGAGAGGGCCAGTGGGGCCTGAAGCTCTTACTGCCGAAGGCCTAGGTCCGCAACCACTGCTCTGGGCCAGAAGCAGCGGCTGCCCAGTGCCGCCTCCCATGTCCTCACTGCTGCCATGGATGAGGCACCTCAGAGCAAGGCTGCACACAACTGCTGTGTGCCACCGCACGGGCTGGAGGCCAGGGTCTGAAGTCAGGGGTGTGCTGGTTCCAATCCCGTGCCAGACTGGGGCTGGACCACCTTGTCCCTCTCTCTTGCACCTGAGAGCACGGATGCCCTCCACAGCACATTCCCGGTGTCGGTGCAGCACAAGCACCGCCCCTTAAGCACTCCTCCCAGCCAGGGGGGCTCGGGCTAACAGGTTGGACTCTCTGCTCCTCAGTGGCCCCTGCGCTCTACCTCCACCACCATGCTTCCAGGACAGCCTGCCAGCAGAGCGCAGCAGGCCCCCGGCACCCCTGTGAGCCCGGCTGGGGTGGGCTATAGGTCCAGGGGAGGCCCCCACTTGGCTCCCAGCACCAGGGACTCACTAAGCCAATGTGCCCATCCCTAACTGCCCCGGCCCAGGATAAGGTCACAGTGGGCAGTCTGGGGAATGACAGTGGACTTCAGAGTTGGTTTTGCCAATTTCAAGTTCTGACTTGGTGTAGCTCCTGACGGCAGTCCTTGCCTCAGCTTCCTCATCTCTGAGATAGGAAGCCAGGTGGCCCCAGCACGGCTGTGGACATGACAGAAGGAATGAGGGGGAAGCCCTACCCCTGCTGTGAGGTTAGCTGGACACTGGCAGGGCTGGGAGGGCATGGCCTCCAGAAAAGCCTGGGCTGCCATCCATCTCACCTGGCCACCGAAGCCCTGCTGAGACAGCCACAGCCTGGACCCGCAGTGTCCTGTCTTCATGTGTGTGACCCCCTCCCCAGGCCAAACCGGCTCAGAGGGCACCTGAGGAAGCGCTAACGCAGAGGGCCTGCCAAGTGCGGGTCAACCTTTCATGTCAGTCACCAGGCCTCTGGCCCCTGCTTTGTGTCAGCACCTCCCAACACAGACAAATGGCTCCTGGCCAGATTCGGCCCCTCTGGAGTCTCTGGACTGCAGAGTCTGCAGGGCCTGGCTGAGGCTAAGCAGCAAGGGGTCCTTGGAGGCCCCAGGAATGGGTTTCAAGGCTCCCTGGCAGCACTGGCCCACCCTTCCCTGCGGCAACCCCAGAAGACGGGGAGAACCTGCTGGTGAGATGGGGGGACTGACCCCTCTGGCCCCCACAGAGGAGGGTTGCTGGGCGCACCCCCCAAGGTCTCTCCCGAAGAGTGCACAGGGGCCTGGCTGATAGTGTGCCGGCCGAAGCCCCATGCCCTCTCAACCTTCCGGTAGAAATAGCAAGCAGACTCCAGGCAGGATGAGCTGTCCAGTGGGATCAGTACAGAGCGGAGGGCTTGGGCCCCCTCCGGCCCGCTCTGCTGAGCTAAGAGGTGGGCAGAGAGGGGGGTGCAGGATTAGAGGTGCTGAGGTCTACAGAAGGCAGGAAAGGGCCTTTGTCCTTTCCAGGGGCCTGTGCCCTCCTCTGCGCAGGGATAGGTGTCTTAGATGAGGCCTGAGGGAGACAAGGGGGTGGGGCTGATGATGGCAGACACACCTTTCCTTCCCTTTCTCCCCAGATGTCATCGGGTCAGGCAGCGCTTCAGACCCCCAGTGACCTCGCGCAGTGGTTCGCTGAGAGGCAGGGGGGCCAAGGCCACCCCGGGACTCCTCAGAAGAACGTCGTGGTAGTCTACTGCCACTGAAAGCCCTCTGGAGCCCAGGCCTAGTCTGGCAGCAGAGTGCCAGCAGTGGAGTCACACTGGCAACTGGGCTGCTGGGCGGAGACCTAGACACTCCAAGTCACCAGTGGTAGGGGGCAACCTGCTCGGCAGGCTCTCTGCTGGGGCACCTGCCTGGTTCGGGCAGGGCTGGGGCTCGGGGCCTGGCCAGGGTGTGCCAGCAGCCGGCCGACAACCCCCTGCACGATCGATCGCGGAGTCCCCAGAGCTGTAAACAAGCCTGCTGCCAGGCAACCGAGCACACGGCGGGGCGGCGACGCCCCACCCGGAAGCGAGTCACCCAGGCTGGGGGCCACGGAGCCGTCAGCCTGCCCACGTGCTGCTTTCTGGGTCACCCTCTGCTCTCCCTGGCGCAGGCCCGGC